AGGATGCTTTGGGCTGCAAGAAACAGAAAATCCAATTTAAAATAGCTTAAATGATAATGGATCTATTAATGTCATTAAACAAAGTCAGTTCTGAGAGTTGGTTAATTTCTCAGCTCATGAAGGCCTCAGGTTATTCCCATATTTCTGCTTAGCTGGCCTCATTGTGTTGGCTAGCTTGGCTAGCTCCTTTCAGGGTCAGAAGGTGTTACATCGTATTCTTGCATATTAGTGCTTGTCCAGAGGCAAAAAAGGTATTTATTTCTTTGTGTCTGTTTTTAAGAGCTCTGATGATACTTTTCCTAGAAGTTCTCCAGCAGACTTCCTATCACATCTCATTGGTCCAAAGCAATCACTGGCAAGGGGAAAGGGACCACTATGATTATTTACACCAAACAGGATTGACCTGTGCAACTTGTGGGAGGCATGAATACCAGAATAAAAGCAGAGCTTTGCAAACAGTCTGCTGCAAATAGTCTTGGAAAATAACTTTTAACAGAGAGCATTAAGTCTATTGAATGATCTTTACAATGTGTGCTAACTCGATCAAGAGATATGAAACGAAAAGACCAATTTGGGAGTAGAAATGTGTATCATCTGCAGTGTGGACACATATGCACTAAATTATAAGATTTTGGGGATGGAAAGTAAGAGTAATGAAGAAGGCAAAATTGACTTAGGTCCCGTTGCCTCTTACTGCCAATTTGGGAGTAGAAATGTGTATCATCTGCAGTGTGGACACATATGCACTAAATTATAAGATTTGGGGGATGGAAAGTAAGAGTAATGAAGAAGGCAAAATTGACTTAGGTCCCGTTGCCTCTTACTGTTTCCTTGTTCTTTTCATTATCCAATTGTCTGGTATTTATTTTGATCATCTGTTACATTTCATGACTTTTCAAAATGGGCAAAATTCTATAGATTGAAGGGATTATGAATGATTATTGTGGGGCAAATGCTTGGCATATAAGTGTAACTATCTATTTCGATAGACTCCATTGGCAGAAGTTATCAAGGGTTGAGGATCCGGTAGCTTGGCTTTTTTCTTGTTCTTATGACTGGAGTCTGAGTACTTGTAGGCATCCCTGCAAATCAAGAAGTATGTATTCATAGTTTTTTAACGATCTAGAAACAGCAAATTGGGTTCATGTGCAAATACCTGTGGTTATAAAGAAAGTCATTGCTAGGCCTTGGCACCAAGGAATATGGGCCCTGGTGGTTAAGTAGCATTCCTTGAAGTTCTTAAGAAGGAGTCAAAATACAAGGAAGTGCGCATTGATATTTGACATTAACACGTATCTTGTAGA